ATCTTTTATTTTTTATTATTGGTAAGGTTCTCATGCAAACAATAATGTTTATTTTACAACATAGGAAGAAAATCAAATTCATACACAATCAATGTTTATTATGATTCAAAAAAGCAAGTTTTACGTGTCAATATAAATAGAAATAAAGTTATGTTTGATAAATAATAATAATAATAATAATAATAATAATACGAATTGAAATACCTTCTAGAAAAAACTTAAGTGAACCTTAAAAATAATCCTAAAATGTGTTAATGTTCCGATTTGGTTTTTTAGACCTCAAACCTTATATCTTATTGTGTCTCGGCGCTAAATACGAGTATTTTTAATGTGTAAACTGGTCAATAGAATGATAATTAACCCTAAAAAAATTTATTTGCTCTGCCAAAAAAAAAATATTTTACTATTCAAAAGCCCGTCAAACCAATGTCTAATGGGTTTTTGTTAATATAAAGTATTCATACGTTATAATCAATACCATATTAAATTTTGAGGTTCAGACAAAATCAGCGCATATGTATGGATTCTATAGGTTTAACGTCCCGAATCATTCATATTTTTAGTAAATAACAAAATTCAATATATATTTTAGTAAAAATGTAAATATATACATGTGCAAAGACACGAGAGTTTACAAATCTTTTACAAAAATCCTTTATTGATTGCGTGGGTTTAACATTCTTGATAATAAAATATAATAAAAATATTTTTTTATTTATTTATCTATGATAGATGAACATAGAAATTATAAAAATAAAAAGAACTAATAAATTTGTGCCAACGCACTTCTTCTAAACGTCGAATAATATAATTTTGTTGTTGTTCTTGTTGTTAAGGTTGTTGTTGTTGTTGTAATAGTTGCTGCTGTTGTTGTTGAAGCTGTTGCTGTTGTTGCTGTTCAAGTTGTGAATATTCGTAATATTATGTTAATTAGCTGACGGGTTGTGGGAGGACTAGGGGTTGCGGAGGGATGGGACGAGTACGAGGAGTTCGTGGAGGTGGGGATATCGGAGTTAATGTTTGTTGTTGTTGTTGTTGCTGTTGCTGTTATTGCTGAATAATAATTATATTATTATTCATTTTTTTAGTTTTCAATACCGTCAATCGAGGTTGGCAAATGTGCGATCCATTGGGCCATTAGTGTAACACTTTAACCATATTTAATATTTTATTAATGGCAATGGACCAGTCCAAAATACATCCGTTCTCAATAGACCAGTCAATTTGCCAACTCTGCCGTCAATGTTATTTAATTAAAATTAGAATATTTAATATATGTATGTAGGAGTGAGAGTTTTATTTGTAAAACAGTGAAAAGAATTCAAAGTATTATTTCGTGATTTTATTAGAAACGTTCTTTTTTTAAAGATAACGTTTGTATTTAAATTTTTAGATTTTTAAAAATATTAGTGCTCGCTAAAAAAATTTGCAGGCTTTAAATATTAAAATTGAATTTAAAAATAGATTTAAAAAATCCCGAAAATTATAAATGAAAAAAAAAAATTCCAAACCTCTTGACGCAATTTACTAGCTTAAAAAGGAATAGACTTGGGAATAAAAAATTGAGAGTTTTATAAAATTTGTCTTTGCAAATCATAATTACGTCAACTAGATGACTATTAACTGTATTTTAATAATAACAACATAAATAAATAAAAAGTTTTTGATTAAATTACTTTATTTTTAATAATGACGACATAAATAAATGTAAGCAATAAAAACTTATCTCCGAATCGGTATAAAAAAAAAGTATGTACAGTATTTTGCCTCTTTACAAAAATTACGTCAAATAGGTGGTTATTGGCTGTATTTTTAATTATAACAACATAAATAAATAAATGTAAGCAATAAAGTTTATTTTCAAAAAAAAAAAATTTTTTGTCTACAAAAATTACGTTGATTAGATGATTGCACACTATTTATTGTATTTTTAATAATGTAAGCAATAAAAACTTATCTTCGAATCGATATATAAAAAAAAGTTTGTCTCTTTACAAAAATTACGTCATTAGACTATTAACTGTATTTTTAATAGTAACTACATTAATAAATACATCTAAGAAATAAAAATTTATCTTCAAATCAATATATATACATATATATATATAAAAGTTTTTTGTCTCTTTATAAAATTACGTCATTAATTGTATTTTTAATAGTAACAACAACATAAAAAATTTATCACCCAAATCGATATGAAAAAAAAATTTTTTTTTGTCACTTTACAAAAATTAGTTTTTATGTTAAGGCGCAGTAGAATCCCGAACACCATTGTAATAATAACAAGAATTACCCCAAGACCAGAACGTTTATTAAGTATTGACACATAAAAAACAATTACATTCCAAATAGTGTTGTGTTGTGAACAATTATTTGTAATAAGAACAGGTAACAAAATTTTAACTCGTGAATTTGAAATGTTGGTTTGATTCATTTTTGTCAACAATCACTTCACCAACAGTTGTTTCGTTAACAAATGGTTCGAATTTAAGAAGTTGGAAGCAACCATATGACAAACCTTTGAAATAAATAAATTAAATTGTACTACTCGAAATTTATTTAAAGGGTTGATTTTCGACATAACTCTCTTCTTAACTCTTCTCTTGACATATCTCTTGATATAATCAAAATAACCTTAATATAATGAATGTCTACGAAATGATTATAAACACAATCAATATTTAAGATATACATGAATGATGTATGAAAAAACAAATAAATTTATTTAATAAAACAATGTTTTTTTTGCATATTCTAATAAAATTTCCATTGTTGCATCATCTATTGCTGATTCAACGTTCCTTTAGTGCAACACATGCACAAATGAGTAAAAAAAAACGAAAAATTCGGTTTAATTTTTTTTTGATTTTTTTTTTGTGCACTATTTAAAAATACAAATATAATTTATTCGTTGAGCAAAAAAAAAATTTTTTTTAAATCAGAGTACACACTGACAAGACTGTTTTCATGAAAGATATAAAAAGACATTTTTACTAATTAGTTAACAATCTAAACCAATCAATTATTTGCAATTAAAACTTGCTACGGTAATCTATTAATAATTTAAACCATATGAATTAGGTAAAATCAAAATTTTATGCCAAAATAACGGAAGCTTACCAAAATCAGATGTTGCTTCAATTATGATGATCAAAAGGCCGTATTTTCTTTGAAAATTTTCAAACAAATAATAAAAATTAAATCCTGAATTTTCTTAGTTTACACTTTATATATTAAAAAAAAAAAGTAACAGGCATTTATTTTATTGAATCATAAAGAAAGTTTCAATAATATTATTCAATTTGATTTGATCTACAAAGAATTAAAGGAATCAGAATTTTTGATCCTTTTTTTAAATCAAACACCCAACAAAAGTAAAAAATTTGTTCCCAAAAAATCATTTTATCCTAATGATAATTCCATTATTGTCCTTGTCCTATTCTTAATTCTTAAGAAATCAATTCATTCCCATGAAACTCTGATTTACTTTTTGGGACATTCTTCAGTAGGCCGGTTTTTATTGTTTTAATTTTAAACGGTAATGGTGATCATCACTAATTATATTTATTGTATGTCTCTTTATGAAATGAGTCATGTTAAAATTTTCATCATTGCATTTCTAAGCATTTCCATCCAGAAATTTTGGAATGTTTCATAGTTGAACATACAATAAACCAGTTATTGAATGCAGAAGCATACAATAATTACATCAAAACTGTCTATAAAATCGAATATGGTTGTTAAAGTAGTGTCATTACATGCCACTATTTTAAATTCAACAACCATTCCGATTTTCCATTATTGCATATGCTTCGCATTCAATAATTCCAATATATATATAAAAAAGAAGATATAACAAAAATTCCAAAAACAGACAATAAAGCAAGTTTTAATTCAAGCTCGCCAATCAAAAGTCGGTTCTTCTATCACAGAACCAGGAATTTATTTTGTGGAACTTAATTTCTTTTGAATTTTATAACTATAATAATGTTGTATGTAATCTTGAAGTTTTGTCATAAAAAATGATAAAAATAAAAAATAAAAAACAATATAAAAATAATGAAATATCGATAGATAAAAGGCTTATTCTTTATTTCAAAAAAAATATCATTTAATATCTACAATATTCAACCCTTTGAGGCATACTGTCAATTAAATTTAAATTCGTGGTTCTTTCAAATTGTTTTATAAACAAACATTTTTGCTATTTTTTACATCATTTTTTATTTTTTATCTTTTTTTTCATGACAAAACTTCAAAATTTAGCATCACAAACATATTCTCAAGAACAAGAGCTTTCAAATGATATAAAGATTACAATATTTTAATTAGTATAGTTTTGAAATAAATTTTGGGTGCAAACTTTTGTCCACTGAGTGTATTTACCAGGAGGAAACTTGGAAAAAGTCTTCTCTCCATTTGGAAGGCTCCCTAAGCCCCTGATCTCATCACTTGTGATGATGGAATAGTAGTTGAACTCGAACTGTTCCATTTAAATGGCTCATACCCAAGAAGCATCTCTACCTTGACAAAGATAAGGAACTAAGTTTGAAACTATATCAAAATAAATTATTTGTAGATGTTTGCTCTTCAATTAGAAAAGAACATTAAAAGTATGTTAGTTCTTTGAAGGACAATAACAAACAAGGAATCACAAAGGATCTGGGTAGATATAATGATTAAAATCATTGACCTGCAAACAAGAAGCATGTATCAGACAAGCAGTCAAGCATTCAGTGGGAGATTATTATGTGAGCATTGTGGAATTAATGGCAAAGAGACTAAGTGTAAACATTTTGATTCTAATTTAAAACATCATTTGTATTGTTTCTCATGTTCATAAATCTTATTTAGTCAAATCCGGCATAAAATATATATGTTTCATGCAAATTTCAGAAAGGTATTGTTTGAATTGTATGTCAACATATGCAAGTCTGCTAAAATAATTGATAAGTATTTGCTTTAATATGAATAAATCATTATTGGTCGTTCATTGGCTATTAGATTCGGCCAGGATAAAGCTTTGGATCTGGATAAAGAAGTCTCATATCACTTTGTAAGACAATCTTAATGGGATAATGATAAATATCTTTCTGATAGAATATAAATATAGAACACCCACTTTAGCTACCAGAGTTACTTGAGAATACTTACCATCAGAAAAGTATGTTTATTCACCGGAAAGCTACCTTTTTGGTTTGAACAAAATTTTCATAATTCTCACAGGCTAAAAATGAAGGAATCAGAAAATGGCTACTTGGTCAAAAATACTTCAAATAGTATCATTTGGTTGGCATTCCTGTTCATATCTCTTGCTACTTAGAGGTTGGAGTGGAGTATTTTGGAATAATATTGGCATGAGGCCATCTAGAATTTATTGATATTTGTTCTAATGATAAAATCATACAAGTTAAATTGAGACATTTAACAAATTATAAAAATACTTATTTTTATTTTTTAAAAATTAGTTTATAAATGATTCACATTTGTGAATAATTAACAAGTTAACAATTTTTTCATAAATAAAATGTTTGCAAAAAGAAGATGTATTATTTCATTATCTGAATTTATTTTTAGTCAAAAAATTATTCAATATTTGGTTTAGATGTAGTAATTGTTGCTTCACTTGTTGATGTTGATTTTAATTTTGATGATTTTATTTCATTTAATAAAAGTTGCATTTGATCCATGAATTTATTTTCAAGTTCACTTTTAATTTCCTTGAGGTCATTCTTAAGTTCACTTTTAATTTCCTTGAGGTCATTCTCAAGTTCACTTTTAATTTCCTTGAGGTCATTCTCAAGTTCACTTTTAATTTCCTTGAGGCCATTCTCAAGTTCACTTTTAATTTCCTTAATGTCATTCTCAAGATCACTTTTAACTTCCTTAATATCATTCTCAAGATCACTTTTAATTTCCTTAAGATCATTCTTAAGATCATTTTCAGGTTTAGGCATACCCACAAGTTCCCTAAGTTCATCAGAAATATAAGGTAAATAATCAGGATTTTCATCACTATTATCTGCCTTTCTTATTCTATCTTGAATATCTTTGACTGATACATAATAGGTCCTAGCAAAAATAAATTAATAAATTACATTAGAATTAATTGAATAGAAAAAAGTTATTTGACAAAAAATTAGTTGGTCATTATAATTTTTACACAAAATATGGAAGCAACTGTTGACGTTTATTAAGTAGTAATTCAATATTTGTTATGACCTAAAATTAATGACAATCAACATTAATTCATAAAGGAAAAAAGTAGAATTATAATATTAATAAATAAATATACTTTAGCCTTTTGAGCATAAAGGGCTTCTTCTGTATTAAATTTTTGAATTTCATTACCAAGTAAACCAATGAATAAATTCATTAGGTATACAACGATTAAAAATGAAAATAATACAACCAAGACTGTTAGATAAGGATCATCTTGTAATGTCCAAGCTCCAAATGCTCTATTATCACCTATTGAAATATTGATATTAATATAATAATAATGAAAATATTTCTTTAAAAAATAAATTACCTACCTGTAAGAAAATTATACATTGCTAACATTGAAAGATGAAATTGTGTAAACATGTTTGTGTTCCCATCAGGTTGTTGTATAATAAATGAACTATTATTATATGTATATGAATCACCATTAGCATAAATAAATTTATACATGTCAGTAAGTTTCCAAGGATTATTTGTATCATTATTGAATGTGGGCTTATCAAGTGAAAATGGTTGAGTTGGTTTTAACATTATGTAGAATGCATGTGCAAAGCTTATAATAATTATCAATAGAATCACTAAAAATGAAAATACTTTTTTTGCAACACCTAAAATTATTGCAAAATATGCTCCAAAGGATCTAAAACATTTTAGAAACAACATTAATTTTAAATCTAGTAACAAATTAGTAAATGAAATGATCTGAATAGGTGGTGGTCTTCCATTATATAACCAATAAGCTGAAGTGATAACTGGTAATGAATAGGCACCAATATCTAATAAATAGGATCAATAGATTAGTATTTATTTAATAATAGTATTTTATCATTATAAAATGTCAAAATTGCAGCTTACTCAATAAAAACCAAAAATCAGCATCAAAAAAAAGAATTTTTCCTGTCACATTTGGAAATCTTTTAAGTTTTACCATTTCAAAAAAAAAATGGAATATATAACCCCAAAACAATTGTGGCAATTAAGAATGCTTTAATTTGACCATCAGTAAGTTAACCGAATTGAGGAGTAGATTGTTGTTGTTGATATAGATTAAGTTGACTAGATGCAAAACATAATGAAAATGCCATATAAAAGATCAAAAATCCAATATGATATTTAAATCCAAAGGTAGTCAATTTGAAATCCAAGATGACTCGACCATTCTGATGTTTACATAATTCTAAAATATCTGTTTTGTAATTTGGAAATGGAATTAATAGTCTTACACTAGGTTTAGGTATATTATCAGAAGAAAAAATACCACCAATAAAAACAAATGATAATATAGCTATTAACTCATAAATAAAAATTTTGAATAAATATATATTTCCATTATTATCATCATTTAAAAAGCCAAAAATAAAATTAAAATTAAAAATAAGGAGCACAAGTCCATAAAGGTAAATAAAAATTGATGCTATAAAAACAATTCTATAATGAATCTCTTCCCAAGAACCTTCCTCTTTTTTTTTTTTATCAATTTCTAGTTGAAGAACCTCAGTAGAAGAAGTACTAGTAATTTTAATAGAATTACAAGATGGATGTAATATCATTGATGTTTGAATAAAAAACTTTGATATTAAATGATGATGCTTCTTTTTTTGTAATGCTGATAAATTTGAAATAATTATTTTTAATAAACTGAGATTTGATGGAGCATCTTTTTTAAACCAATCAAGACATGAATCAAATATTTTTTCCACTATAATAATGTCATTATTTCTTAATGCTAATTTTAAAATTTTATTCCCATGTCTGCTAAAATAATAAAGATCATTTAACATATATGGTACCATTTCTTCATATGATTTCCCCTCAAGTTGACCTTTATCAATATATGAATCATTAATGTTATTAAAAACTTGTTTAATATTTGCAATAAGTTTCTTAACCTTCTCAAATTTATTAGATCTATTAATTCTACTCATAAATGGAAATAGAAAATAAGTAGCATATCTTGTATAAATTTTATCATTTTGTTTATTAAATGATAAAAGATAAATGCCATTGGATTTGGATCTGTCTTTAATCTTTGTTGTTAATAAAATTAAATCATCATCATGTAACAATTCATAATATTCAAATGTTTCACCATCAATTGCAACTAAATTTTTTCTTGATTTATTGAAAAATTTTGGTACCTTTACTTTAATATTTTTAAATTTCTTATCATATTCTATTGACCATTGTGTGCCTTTTCCCTCTATAAGGATAGATCCTGATTGTTTATTATTACCATATAAGAACTTATCTATTTCAGATGATATTTGTTTTCTATGCTGAGTTTTTAAATTTATTTGCTGAATATTTAATTTTTCTTCATCAACAATAATTTCCTTAATTAACAATTGATCTTTAATTATTATAGCTATTTTATTATGTAGTATAATTCTTCCAAATAAAATATCTTTTGTATTTTCTATAATAATTTCATTAAAATATTCTGTAACATCATCAAGATTATAAGGATCCATTAATTGACACTGATAATTTTTTGTGTTGTGCTTATAATAGATTACTAATAAAAATGTTAATTGATTTTTTGTATAAAAATCTAGTGTTTTAATATCAATATTTTCTTCTATTTTAGCTATATACAAAATTATAAAAAAATATCAGTTATAAAATTATCCATATTTTAAAGTTAATTAAATTATTAACACTTACATGATGAAATGATAACATCATCTTTTAATGAATAAACTATTAATTTTGAATCAGATTTATTATATGTCACCATTAGCAAATTATCTTTGTTAAAACATATGTTATCATACCTAAATAATAAATTATAATTTTTCACACGTGAAAAATTTACATTATTTACATTATTCCGTTTCCATTCCCATTCTGAGAGTAATGTACCATTGCTAGCAATTAGAAGATTACCATCATGAATGGAAAAAAAATCAGGATTATGAAGATCATAAAAATTATATGTTGTTGCTTTATGAACTACTGAATTGTTGTCATCATATGTAAATAGATGTAAATTATAATAATCCTTTCCCATTCCACCCATTATTAGTTTATTCTTTCTAAGGAAAAATCCCTTGTCAAAATTTGTATTTATTTTGTGATCAATCTGAGTTTCAAAATAATCTTCTTTGGAAAAGTCAAGAAGTTCTATAAAAACATTTTTATATTATAATTTATTATATATCAATAAAAAATATATTGGTTAGTTAATAAATCACTTACTATAATGAGATTCATTTTCAAAATGATTACATAAAAGTATATATTTATCATCAGATACATCTTCTATGGTTATATAATCTGAATTTGGATCTTGTTTTTTGTCAACATCAACATTATCATCATATATATTGTCTATAGTTATATCAATAGATTTATCTGAATTTGAATCTTCTAAAAAATTATATTTAAAATATTTGTCTCGTTTAATTGTTTCTTTGTCAACATCAACTGACCATCCAACAATAGATTTATCTTTTCTACTATAAGTAACAAAGTACTTGGAATTAGAACTACATTTTATTTGATTAATTTCACATCTACCATGTGGAATAAATTTACTAATATTTGTATTCATAGTAGAATTGTGATTATTATCAGCAATTAATATTTTTTCAGAGTTCTCAAGTGTTGCTACTTCTATAAGGTCAATATCATTAATGTTTTCTTCCATTTATAAAAAATATGATGTTACACAACAAAGCCACGAAATTACATGAACAAGTTAAAATTAGATTTTAGAAGTTTCCATCATAATTTCTTCAAATTCATCAAATGTTTAGATAACAATAACAATATTATTAAGGTCAATGTCATCATTATTATTGTTTTCTTAAACGTTTTTTTAAAGGGTGACCTATAAATAAGACTTCGTTTATATTTAGAGTAATGATTTACAAATATTTTGTCAATGATTGGTTACTATCATTCATTTATTACGCATTTTCTATAATCATCCATTTTTAAGATTGTTGATCTTCCTCACTCTAATGCTTTGCATATAAAGAATATATATGCAAGGTTTCACGTCATCTTTTTTAGTAGGATTTTCATGTCGCGTTATTAAAGTTTTAAAGTGTTTTTTCAATTAAAATACATTATAAAAAATGATCATCACTTTATATCACGTTTAGTGATAGAATACATGATGACCCCCTTTGATGATGATGATGATTTAGAAACGGATTTCGGTTTTTTGCATCATCCATTTTAGTATTGATTCATTTAATTTTGCAAATAACGGGGGCAGTTGTGATGATGACAATGGGAGTGAAAGTGAAAGAATTATTGAAGATAAAGAAAAAAAAACACTAATTAAGGAGCTGATGAAACAAATGATTATGATGATTATGCTATTGGCAATAAATAAAATGGATCAAGAAAAAATTTACATATTATTTTTTTATAATCAGTGGAAAAGAAAAAAAAATAATTATATGGATTGGATAAATTGATTTTTATAGATGACAAGGACTGGATGAAAATTCCTCTTTGATTATTGTCATCATTATTAATTAGTTAATTAATTAATTAAGACACGTGTTTAGAATAATGATCAATATTATTATAGATCAAAATAATGCAAATATAAAATTATAACAATTGAATTATTTGCTAAGAAAGCAATTATTATTATTATTATTATTATTATTATTATTATTATTATGGCGGGACAAAGCATCTTTCTTCACATTTCGAAAAAGACGTAGTTGGTTCCTTTCTTTGACCTTTGGCAATAGAGAGATTGGTGGACTAATTTAGCTTGCGAATTATCCTTTTTTTTTGGTGGCGTCAAGTATCTTCACGTTTTAGATTATTTTATCATGTTCAAGATAAACCAATAATTTGTTAGTTATTAACATTCTCCTTCTAATGAGGAACACAAATCACAATTAAGCGCAATTGGATGGTATAGAATAGTGCTTTGTACTCTATGAAATTCAATGAAATTTAACTGACGTCTAATTGTAATAATATCTATATTATGATGAATATGACACATACATTGATACACAAGATATATATCCAGGCCCTTCTTTAATGATGAATCACTCAATTCCTTTGTTCTATTCCTATTGGATCTACTAAATTTTTCTGGATAATTAAACAAAAAAAATGCAACAAAATAAACCTAGTTTTATATAGCAATATTGTATAGAAATAGAAAATGGATGGATATGTAATATTTATGGGTGAACTTTTTACACATAAAAAACAAGCATTTTGAAACATCTTGAAACTGCACATGATTTAATAAGACCAGAAATTGCTGCTAAAGTGATGTTTATGACTAAATTTTTCCTATAAGGGCACTAGCACTTACTCCAGGTAAGGTAACTTGATCACATGCACGTCAACCATTTGCCTTTTTTTTTAAAGTATCAACGAAATGCATTATTTCCACTGATAAATTTAATTTAATTTAAATCAAACATTTAAAGCAACAATGGAATAAAAAAATTCCTTTGTAATATATCTAAATGTCATGACAAAAATATGATGCTCTAATACATGTACAATGTCCATTTATAAAATATGCTGCGGGGACAACTAAACATGTAGAGTTTCAACTTTTATCGAGCGTAATAAATGTTTAGTATTTAACGAATCATAAGCGAACAACGCATCCTGACTAAAGAACAATATTCGAGTACTCTTCTCCCATCACAACAAAAGCAACCTCTTTTTGACAAAATCTATTTAAGGAAATATATATCAGATAAAGAATGATCGATTATAGTATTTATGCATATGAGAGAATTTTATAAATAAGTTTATATAAAAAAAATCTAAGCAATAATATTTACAATAAGATACTCTGCTACCACACTCCCTAAAATATTAGCTAATACATGTCAACGCCCTAATCATCAAAAAGATGCTTGAGCATTTTTAGAAGATAAAAAATAGTAAGATGATAATGACAAGAAAGATGGAAGAAATTCAAACAAATAACAGTTGTTTGTGTTTTTCTAATTCAAAATTCTCTTATTTCTCTATAATGTACATCACAATAAGGTTGTCCTTGGTGAACATAATATGAACTATGGAATGGTTGATTACAAGTCTTAAGAAAAAAAAATAAAAATTAATTGATATGTATATATATATATATATATATATATAATATAAGAATTTGCATTAAATTTAAATAATTTGTTTACCTTGCAACCAAAACAATCACGGTGCCACTTTCCATCCAATGCGCTTGTAAATTCTTCTTTAATTGGATTTTGACAACCTTTACATTTTGGTGCTAAACAATAATAAATAATATCATTAGTTGATTGATTTAATATAACAATATACATATATTTCTAATAGAATGAATAAATGAATGGTCTATTTACCAAATTTTTTCATCCAATCCTTTTCACAGTATGGATAACCATCATGTACCATGAAACCACCACTTTCAAATGGTCCACCACACTCACGACAAAAGAAATGTCCTACATGCCAAGATTTTCCAAGTGCCGTAATACATTGCTAAATAAATATTTTTTAAAAAAATTATATTATTGTAATGATGAATTGAATTACAAATATTTCCCTTTCCAAAATAAATAAAAATAATTTACCCCTTCAATAGGTGTATTACAATAACCACATCTTGGACTAAACAATTCATGAAAATCCAAATGACAATATGGCAATCCATCTTGTTCAAAAAAGGCAATGTGTTCTAAAGAAGTATTACATGTTGTGCATGTGAAATGATCTGGATGCCATTTTTTCCCCATTGCCGACAACACCTTCCCTGTGATTGATTTGTTACAAGCTGCACATTCTATTGATGCTACATTATACATAGATGATGATGGTCTACCACCACCATTAAGAGGTTGATTATTTGATGTATATATTTTTGGTGAAGTTGGTGAAGTTGGTATTGAATTATGATTATATTCTTGATTATGTTCTGATATATTACTACTAATACTATTTCTATTGCTATTATTATTACCATTACTAATAGCGTTGTTGTTATTAATTGTATGGTTTGAATTTGAAAAATTGTTCCCACCAAGTTTTTCTGAATGAGGGAATTTCTTTTGAGTCTCATCATATCGTGGATTCCATTGTGAATTATTATCATTGTTTTCTAGTTCATTATTTAATTGCTTGTTAAATTGATGTTGTTTTTGTAACATATTTACTGTAGAGTTGTATATTTTCTTGTTTTTATTAACTTCACTTTGAATTTGGTTTGTGGTTTGTTTAATTAATGATGGAGTCCTTGATGCTGGTCTGGAAGAAGCAGAGTACGATTTAAATGCAGCAGATAAAACATAACTATCTTTTGTGTTATTATCTATTTTTGTAGTAGATGCATTAGCAGAGATGGTTCTTTCATCAATGTTGTTGTTGTTGTTATAGCTACTGTTAATATCTGTTGATTGATTATTATTTAACTTAAAAGAAAGCTTCGTTTCCATTGGATAAGTTAAATCATTAATAAGTCCATTAATATCATTATTTCCATCAATCTTGTTTGCATCAGCTTCATTAAAATTTAAGCCTGATGAAACTGTATCTGTGGTGTTTAGTCGTGTAGAAGAAGATGATGAATAAGCAGTAGAACTGGAAACTGATTCGGGAGGAGAAGATGGTGTTTTGATGCTTTCTCCAATTTTTTGACCTATAATTGAGGTAATCTTCTTTGGAGAAGGATACACCCTTGGACCATACAAACCTCCTCTTTTCCTCTCATTTTCAGTTGAATAACCGGGAATAGAATTAACAATAATTGAAGATGAAGAGGAGGAGAAGGAAGAAGGGGGATGAGGAGAAGGGCTTAAAAGAACATTGTTGTCGGATGGAGCAGTGGAGGCTATTGGACTTTTTGGTGGTGTTATTAGACTTGAAGGTTTAGGAGGTGCTTTATCCTTTAAATTTTTTAAATAATTTGCTAAAAAAATTAAATTATTAATGGAATAATCAGTTATAAATAAATTTATTGGAGGGGCAAATAAAGTAATACTCTCAAAAAACTTTACCAAGTTCATCTTTTGTAAGATTTTTTTTGTCGTTCATCTTTATTATGGTTGTTAAAAAAATTTCTAATCAAAAAAATTTGAATTGAAAACTCCTTTATTTTATATTTAATATTTTTAATATAAAAAGCTATAAACGGTTAAACAAATATGACATAATTGTACTTCGCTTGTCATATCGGGTATCGGGAATGATAATATTATTAATAATATAAAACAATTGAATATCGCCATTTATTATTTTTTCTCAGCATAACTGAAATGAATGTTAAGAATGATCAACAATAATAATAATAATAGATGGCGGCCAAGAAGAATTGTACACTGCAGATGAATTTATTTTTATTTTCCTCATAATAAACCATGTCACAGCGGACTATAAATTCTTGGATTTTTAAATTTTCGCTTCACATATTAATATAAAAGGATATAGTAATAATACTAAACGATGATAAATATTAATATTAATGAAGAAAATAGTTTGATGGTGAGACAAGAATCGATTAAAAACACATTCCTTACAAATATATTAAATTAATATTAATATTTTTAATATTAATTAGTTTAACCCTTTAAGTGCACCCCATCTAAGTGCACGCTTTCATTCCCATCTATAAAACTCCCTCTCTAAGTGCACTCCCGTGATTTTCACATGATCGTTGTCCAATAAAAATCGTGCGACGTTATTAAATTAAAATACTTTTTCTTTAAAGAATTGATTTTTTGTAAGAGATGATAAAGAATTAAATTTTATACTTAGTAAATAATAATAAAGAATATAAATGTTAAAGAATTAGAAAATAAAAGTTTTCAAATATTAGCAGAAAAACTTAATCATTCATTTTTGGTTTCATATTTTTCAAATTATTTGAGAGCTAATCAACAAAGTTAAATTTATAATTAGTAAAAGGTAAAGAATTAAATTTATTAGTATGACAGAATTATTTTGTAAGAGGTGTTCATTTTTATTAAGTGA